TTCTTTCGAAATTATTTTAAGTTTAAAAAAAAGATTTAATCAGAAGCAGCAAGTTTATATAGTTTTTAATCGAAACTCATAGCCTGCTCAATAAAAGCTTTTGCTGGGCGGATAATACATATAATAGGAGCATGATCTGAAGGGTTTTCTAGTTTTCGTAATCCATCATAAATATAACATGCTTCCAGCCTGTCTATAGCTTGTGGTGATAGTAATATATAATCTATACGCATTCCTTGATTATTTCTCAATGAGTTACCTTGATAATGCCACCAGCTGAATTGCTGTAGATTTGGATTGAATATTCTAAATGCGTCCGTAAATCCAAGATTAAAAATTGCTCTGAGTTTCTCACGTTCCTTTATGTGGAAGCATATCTCATCATTCAATAAGCTTGAGTCAAAAACATCAATTTCATCGGGTGCAACATTGTAATCACCAGCTACAATAGTTAATTCTTCATTTTTTAGTAAGTTATTCATTCTTTGGCCGAGTTTATCCAAAAACCTCAATTTATACTCAAACATATGAGAATCAGGACTTTGACCATTTGGCACATATACACTTCCAAGCCTTACATGATGATCGTTATATTTAACTATACATTCTATGTAACGTGCTTCATGGTAATCTTCCACAATATCAATCTGAAAATTTTTTACTATTGGATATTTAGATAAGATACACACGCCATTCCTTGCAGTTTGTCCATAGATAGCATGTTCATACTTTAGCTCTTTTATTTCTAAATAAGGGAACTGTTCTTCAGTACACTTTGTCTCTTGCAGTAAAATTACATCTATCTGATTATTAACAATGAAATTACAAAGCTGATTAACTCTTTTGCGTATAGAGTTTATATTCCAAGTTGCAATTTTTAGCACTAATTATCCTTATTAATTGTATCAATCAAATTATCTTGTGTTGGTAACCTAGATGTTACAACTGATTTCCATTTGATTGATTTTAAACTATCGGCAATGTTCTTACTCATAGAGTATGCAACTACATTACTCGTCATGGACGATAATCCACTTTTTGCAACTAACGAACAAAACACTCTTGCTGTTTGTGTAGAAAAAAAAACTACACTACCAACACCACCATCTAATAATAAGTTTTTACATCTGTTGGTTAAGTGTCTTTTGGCAATTGTTCTATATAATATTACTTCCTGTATGTTGAAATTTTCATCAGATAGTCTTTTTTTTAGGTCACATGAAACTTCTTGCCCTCTAATGTATAAGAGCTTCATTTCTTTTGAATAGTTAGTTTTTATAAATGAGATCAACCCTTNATATATACGGCTAAAGGCCTTGATGCTATTTTTGCTAGTGGATATTACAATATCAAATTCATATTGAGATAGGTCGGAATAGAGATATTTTATTGTAAATATTGGTTCAATATATACTTTATATCCATGTTTTCTGAGCATACTTCTTGTACCCAATGAATCTGACAAGGGCCTTGTTAATAAGATAGATTTCACTTTAATTCATATAGCTCTCAATATATAATATACTTAATCTGGATAAATTACTAAAAAAAATTTTCAAGTAGATTCCTTTTGATATTTAACGCCTAATTGTAATTAGGCTTCTCTTCAGAGATATTTAACTTTTCCTCAAAATTTTAATTATAAATATGTTGCTTTAAATTGTCAAAATTTTTCTTTACTACTACTAATTCCTACTCTTTGAGTACAGATATAATCTGGTTTGCAATTAGATTCATACATAAATTCATGATTTGCAGTTAATCCAGACTATTGCGTTCTTTTATAATATTTAATTATTGCACAATATTCCTGGTACACCTAAATTTAGCTCAAGTGGGTCAGCGAGCTTTAAACCACGTATTAGCACTGCAGCGGGCAATTCTTCTTCTGTTATAACATTTAGGCAGTGGTATACCATATATAAAATATACACATGAAAACCCTGGCTTACCAAGCATAACCGAGGTGCGCTTAGTATAAGCTTTAGCTACGTGGCAAGCTGTGTCATCTCTGCAGATATAAGCTTCAACTTCATTTATTATTCCGCTAAAATTAGAGAATTTTAGAGTCTTTCCTAATAATTCTCCAGCTATAATAAAGTTGGGGTTCATAAAAATTCCTCGACAACATTGTACCTCTCATTCGTGAAATAAAAATTTATTTTAACTACAGGATGACTGCAAATATTTATTTGCTTGATAAGTGAGAATACGTCCCCTTAGTGTACGCTGTACAAAATTAATTTTGATTAAGTAAGGTTCCACTGTTTCTTCTATATTACCAACATTTTCAGACAATGCAATTGATATAGTGTCAATTCCTACCGGGCCAGAAGTATTAGATAAAAACCTTAAATAATCCATGTCTAATTTATTTAATCCCATTTTATCCACACCTAATTTAAGTAATGCAGAATTAGCGACTTCATATGTAATTCTCCTATTAATTTCCATTTCAACAAAATCCCTTATTCTTCTCAGTAATCTTAGAGCAATTCTTGGAGTTCCTCGTGCACGGCAGGCAATCTCTCGTGCAGCACTTTCCTCAATTTCAGTGGAGAGAACCATAGCACCTCTTTTTATAACTTCTACTAATTCTGTAAATGAATAAAATTCTAGGTGAAGAGGTATACCAAAACGATCTCTCAGTGGCGCAGAAAGCAAACCAATGCGTGTTGTCGCTCCTAGTAATGTAAATGGAGATATGTCAATTCTTAGAGTACGGGTAGATGGACCTTCACCCACTAATATATCTAAACAAAAATCCTCCATAGCAGTATACAGGACTTCCTCAATACTGCGATTTAGCCTGTGAATTTCATCAATAAACAAAACATCTTTAGCATTTAAAGTTGTCAGCACTGCAGCCAAATCCCCAGCCTTATTAAGTAGAGGGCCGGAAGTTGCGCGAAAACTAACTCTCAATTCCTTAGAAAGGATATGAGCCAAAGTTGTTTTACCAAGACCTGGAGGACCACAAAGTAAAACGTGATCTAAAGCCTCAGTTCTTGTTTGTGCAGCTTTTATAAATACTTTTAGATTTTGTATTAAATCTTTCTGTCCGATAAAATCATCAAGTTGTTCTGGCCTAATGTTAATGTTGCGTGCATCTTCTTCATATTTCTTGCTGTATGATATTGATTTCATAATTTTGATAGATCCTTAAGTGCTACACGAACCATATCTTTGGTTTCCAAATTTGGTGACTCATCTTGTATTTTTTTTATAGTATCATAAGCTTTCATTTTTTCATAGCCAAGATTAATCAAAGCTGAAACAGCGTCTTCTTGAATGGGATGATTATTCGCTTCCAATTTGCTCACTTTGCCGCGTAATTCAGTAATGATACGATTTATAAGCTTTGAGCCTAACCCACTTATTTTAAGTAGCACCTTATCTTCATTTGCAACTGCAGAAAAAAATTGCTCTGGGGTTAGTTTACTCAAAATTGACATTGCGGTTTTATAACTAACACCACTTACCTTGACAAGTAAACGTAAGCATTTTTGTTCTTCATTATTTAAGAAACCATAGAGCTGAGGAACATTTTCTCTGCTTTTTGAATAAGTTTCGATCAAAAGCTTAACCCTACTTCCCACTGAACAATGACCTAAAGCCTTAGCTGAAAGGTATACAATATAGCCAATATCATTTACATTCAATGTTATATGATCGCTATGAACCTTATCTACTATTCCTCTTAAGCTTCCTATCATTTATTATCTAAAATGAAATTTATTATACACCATTGTAATTCTTTTTCAATTCAATTTAGTCTGTTAGCAATGGGTATATGTCGCTACCACAGTAATTTACAGAATTATTAAATTTGTTTTGACATGTTGAGAATGTTTTATCGTAATCAGCAAGTATTGAATATTGACTTCCAGCGTAAATTTATGTGCTGTGAATAATGCAACTATTTGATCTTTATGTTCCTTCAAAATAGCTTCAAATGTTGAGAATTTTACCATATCATGTTTATGATATTCATCGCTTGCAGTTAAATTCGTGTCTTTAAATTTTTTCATCTATTACTTGAGTAACAACGCTCACCTTACTATTTTTGTATCAATTTTACACTTATCGTTACAAAACTGCGCTCTACACGTAGAAGAATATAGCCCTCACAATATTTTGCTCAAGTTTTGCTTACAGTCCACTAATTTCAACAATAAACCTTCATTATTTAGTATGATTTTGCCAAAAGTTCGTAAGTATAACTAATTATACCCTGACTTGGATCCTTGTAATTCAAGAGAAATATTTCGATATTGGCAAAGTCATATCTTCCAGCAAAAAACTTCTTCTTTAATTTTTCGCTGTTTAATATTCCTTCAATTTCTGAATTATCAGTTTTCAGGTTGCTATTTAGAAGTATACTACTTGCTGTAAACCAGCTGAGGATTTGTAGATTACACCATCTATGTTTAAATCTTCATCCTGATCAGCAAATCCTATCACTTTTCATCGGCAAGTTTTAATTTCCACCAGGTAGTAACAGACAATAATTCTTCAGTTAAATGGTTAATTAATATAACAGCGTCCTTTTACAATATTTTTTAAAATTATGTGAGTTTTGTATTTTTTAATTCATCTGAGTGAATGATGTTAACATTATAATATAGATTATAGTGAAAATTGCATTAGGTATTTAGTTTATAGAATATACTTAGAGCGAGAACCTGTAATACTTGTATTTCTTTGCTGTTGCCTATTTTTTTCTTTATCAACATAACCATTGGATACCTCAATAGTGGATGTCTTAATATCATCAAGTGTTACAACTGTTTCTACTCTACTATTAAGAGGTTTTGTTTTTTTAAATTTATATTCCATCTCTGGTCTTCTCGCATCAAGCTCCTTCCATGTGCCAATCATGTGATGTTCAGCATTATCCTTTGCTTCTTCTGATTCTGCCACTTTACCACTTGTGATCACTTTATAACCATTCTTTATGCCACTCCAACACTCTTTAAATTGCTCTTTCCACAGTGTATAGTAAACATCACTATACTTTTCTTTATTTGCAGTAAATAGTAGAATAGGAATTCTAAGTATAGTAGCTACAATGTTCACTATATTCTTTGTTAGTTCTGCACAACCACGTAAAACGCGAGCAAAGGCTTGTACTGTTGGATTTTGTATATTCATCAACCGCTCCCCAATTTTCACAAAAGGAGAAGTTACAAAATTAGCAAAAATTTTAATCAAACTTGTAACAAACATAATGGGAATAGATATAAAGAGACTTTTGGCCATCTCTAAGTTCCCTCTTTCATCAGTAATTGCAAAAGCATGGAGATTTGACGGTCCAGAGTAGCTGGTATATAGCAACTCGCCATTTCTACATTTTTTATCAGGAACTTCCTGACCACCCCCCGCCTGAGTTACTATGGAAGAGTTAGTTAGTTTGTATATAGGATCTTTGCCTTGTTTTTTATCTGCATTAATATTTTTAACCTCAAAAACTGGTAGATATTTTTCTAAATCTTTTTTTGAAAAATCGAATGGTTCATAAAATCCACTACAATCTTCATTTTTATTATTGGGATCTTTACCAATTAACTCCTCAATAGTAAAATAATATTTATTACCATCTTTGTATATAATATCGTGATATACACCTTTTTTACTTGAATCTTCTTCAACAGTTTGAACAACTAAGGCTAAAGGAAAGCTCGATTGTTTTCCTTCCTCATCTTTATTGCCAAATAAAAGCTCATACTTGCCAGGTATAGCATTTCCTCTAGAATCTTTTAGTCTTTGAATTATACCATTCTCTACAATGTCATGATAATTTTTTGGATATCGAAATTGTCTTCCTTCGATGTTTTTTTCATCTTTTGTTACGTTATGTACTACTAATGCTCTCAAATCCATAATATTAGTCCGAGATTTAGATGGAGTAAATAACTTATCTACTCCAAATACAAAGCTATTTATTCCTGCTTTTAATCCTCCAGGCATAATTTTAA